ATGTATGTGAGGAATTTGGAGGCGATTGATATAGAGCTACTGAAATGATTGTTTGCGCTAGAATTCCGCTGACCCTTTTTTGAAAATGAGCAGTACAGTTGATATTCGCCTTTTTAAATCCACCTTTTTGATGTCAAATATCATATCGATTTAAACCACATGTTCACTCAAGATAATTCTAACTCTATTTCTAAGCAGAGAAAGTTTATTGGCTTCAAAGCAACGTTTCGCGTAATCACGGCCAATATCGACTATGCCATGAAGTGGAATGGAATACTCCAGTCTGACTTTTAAACCCAAAGACTGGGATAACTTTTACCTTGCAGACAGTTCAGCTAACGCCACCAATGATTTTAACCACCTTTGATGCATTGCATAAACCTGCTTGCTCCAATGCAATATAAAAGTAGCCATTGCATCGCCAATGGGATGTATCTTTAACCATTGAGCCCCTGAGTTACGAAGACGAATGTTATGTGTGATCATGCAAACTGTTAAAATCCTCGAAGACTTTCAAGCTCAATATGATAGCTTGTGTCAAGATAGGCACAAGCGCTAGGGTCTGCCAAGCACAAGTAAATGTTGTATCGATCACAGTGACTGCATCCGAAGTGGAGAGTTTTGGGCCTGCAGTGCAGTGTTCAGAGAAAGCGGGTCCGAAGTTCATCGGCTGTGTTTACCCATTTTTAGCAGTGCCTATGAAGTAACGGCGGCAACATACTTTGTGCCACTGAGCAAGCATTTGGAGACCTGAATAACACCAATATTCTGACGATACCTCAGACCTCCGTGCCACCCAGTTAGCTTCATCTGGCCAAACGAAATGATGGGGTTATGAGCGGGAAATAATAAGAGACGTTCTATGCTAGTGGTATCAGCAAATATCTGGCACCTTATCCAAAAGTTGCTGGGCATCCGTCTGTATTCGTTGTTTCACATTTCAGATTGAGGCAACTACTTCAAACATGGAAGAGAGCTTATTCATTTTCCGTTGTTTTTACATTTGGTGACGAATTAGCTTTTACAAAACATATACCCATTTGGTGATTACTCGGGTCTTATGGTTCATTTGGTTTAATGACACATATAGACACTGAGAATCATGACGATTATGTATGGGTCAAAACTCCCAGATTCCCTGAATAGACAACGGTTTTTTGGTCATAGCTTATCTGAAGCCGGCTCAAACTGCAGCGAATATCCAACTCATTCTTATATGGATCTTCTAAAGTGCCATGGCAAGCCACACCCCCTTTATTAATGGGGTGTGTAGCGGGAGTACATTTGAAAAAATCTGTACCCGGACAAAATAAATCGTAGTTTGTTTTTTGCCAGCCAATACAAGTGGTTTGAAAATGCTTTCGGGTTACAGAAGTCTAGTCACCCTAACGTTTTGTGTATCCATCAGTAGACGGTATACATTTTTTGGATGGTCGCTGCCACTTGCGTTGTAGATGCCGAGAATATGCTTGGGTGCTTGCAGTGATTGGTGCACTCCGCTGTAGGCGTCAGGTATGAATGGATGGTTATCGTCGATCCCCTAACTCATGGCACAATTCCGCGATTGAAACACAAAACACCGCACTGATGACCTTAGGGAAGAAAATAGAATAAGTCCTATGCCGTAACACTACGGCCTCAAGGTGAATTTGCGATAACAGACATCCAAGGACGGAATCCGATTTTCGTCCTGAGCTACATTTTATAATCATAATGGCAATCACTTTGGTTAGACGGCAAGGAAGATGTCCTCAGGGATTGAGATATAAATTCATTGGAAGCTGTTGTTGACTTATCAGACTGTTTCACCAATGGCGAATATGTTCACTGATTCGTTCAGTGAACCCAACTCAGCTTCTACCGCAGCTAAAAGTGAATTTATCTGGAGAGTGAGACATGCTGCCTCGCCGTCAGTGTCCATATTGAACCTGAGCAGAGGTCTGGTCAAAGTGAGCAGTCGCAGTTCTGCTATATTGTAATCCCAATGTTAGCGCATCACTTATTCGTTTCTCGGTCTTTCACAATGTGATCACCTCTGTAATTAGGCCTACAATGTTAAAGAACGGTTTTAGTCATTGTAGTGAGGCTCTTAATAAAATGGTATTCGCCCTCTCCACTATAAAATATTCGCAACGTCCGTGAAATCGATTAACTTATGAACCCATGTCGTTCAGTAGCTTGCTTCACGGTTACTATACAAGCCAACTTACCTTTAGTAATTTGGTCGCATGGCTAGTTCTAGCAAGGGTCGTGAGACCAAAAGAGTATAACATTATAATTCGTCCTTTTTACTTGGCCTAATGATGACATGCAGCAGTTACTTCACAACAAGGTATGTGATTTTGTGTCTCATGTTTATGGTTTTGAAGAGCATAATTAAATACTTATGGTTGTGCTGTCGATATATATCGTAGATGCTTAAAAAACATCCACCATAATATCAACGCCGTTCAGCCACCGAGAATTTTGCTGTTCGTCTTTACTGATTTCGCTTTCTGAATTCTACCATTCGTATTCAGTCATTAGGTTCTGGAACTTACGCTGGTTGATTTACAATGGAGCACATAAGTGCACCACCGGTAGAATCTAGCTACTTTAGTAGCGACAAATAGTTACAACTTTTCAACATGCTAATGATAATAGAAGTGTTTAGTTTGTAACTAACCTACTCACTTTCTGAAATGCAGTGTGATGGTTTCCTGTGTTTTTATACTGTCCTATAAAAGCACAGCTCGCTCGTTTCACTTTACTGCAAAGTAATAACATTCTGTGTAAATTTTTAAATCGTTTGTTGCCCCAAGTTACTAGAATGAGTATGAATTGAATGGAACCAACAACTCCTTAGTGACGCAACCAGCAGGTTAAGAGGGTACAGCACAATATACATTGCAAATCGAGAGTAGACTTGGTTATTAACAACGAAGGCTGGAACGGTTTCCTTGAAATAAATCAACTGATCAAAGGGGCATCCACTGAATGTTCACAGATGATTTAGTCACCTGGTATCCTTTCTGGGGAAGCACGTTATACAATCAACGATTTATGAGAAGAAAGTGAAAGTTGTGTACCACGAAGGACAAGGCTATAAAGTTCTCAGCCTTGACATCTGGCAGCCAGTATCTGCATTAACGTCGTCCATGTAATAACAGACAACTACTCAATGTTTACCGCCAGTCTTCAGTGGCAGCGAATTCTACCAAGTCCATCTCTGTAGTAATGTCCACGCGTATTGACCAAAGTGGTAAGCATATAAACCACGTCTTAAACAGCCGCTGGAGTCTATTCGCACAACAAACACGATTGCAAGTATATATTTTATTGTTTTGTGTAGTGAAAATAAAACGTTATTGATCATCGCTCAATACCACGTCTAAGTGCCATAGAAAACTAGGGAAACTGGGGACGATTGCTGTTCGTCCACGTTTAAGTAAATTGTTGTAGCTGATGCGATAAGCCCGCACCAACTACATCATAGTGAGGCCGCAATAGCGTCAGAAAAGAATTGCAGCGAAATGCAGAGGATTAAATTGCGTTGCCACTATTTTCCCCATTTCACCGTTACGCTACAATGTGGATTAAATGTGGAAACCTATATGTGGATTCTTTAATCACTTGAATCTGTCGGATAAGCTTTTTCTTCGCTCCAGTCGTACATACTGAGCTCACTGGCCAAGTTTTAACACAGAGTGTGAATTAGATATTTGGTTAACGCTCACAACTCTGTTATCTATATTTCCTACTTAAATTGTATATCATTGTATGGATAGCAATACTAAGGAAATAATATGCTTGATATAAAACAGTCAACAGCAGTGGTTACCAAAACATGTGCAAATCGCTAGCTTGTAGCTAAATTTAGGCTAACCATATATCCCTGTCTCAAATTCACAACTTCATGACTGCACTATGTCACGGTTCCACAAGCCTGAGATTCACGTCAGCAACCAGTCACTGCTGACTTTGATCGACGCCCCTTAACCAGGGGCTAATCGCTCACTGTAAATATCTTTAGTAAGAAATAAAGACATTTTCAGATACACTTAACAAATGATTGGCAAACCACTCCCGAAGCTGTATTAGGCTCTGTAAATGGGCAGACTCTAACTGCAACTTCCTGGAACGTGACTGATGAACGAATTCGAAAAAGTGAACTGTGGGTAAAATATGCACGCAGGTAGAACAATTTTCTCCGCCTATCAGTAGGAAAGGTTCCGTGATCGAAAACCACGAAGAGAATCTCGTTATAGTCCTAACAATACAATACTATTTTTATCAGAAGAAATGGATTAAGTAACTTTCCCATTGTTCACGGTAACGGAAAAGGAAAACGAACAGCATAACGTACAACATACGTAGGAGGGAAAGCTGTCTTCCCCGCTGTTGGCATATATTACTACACGACTATATGCGCAATGTTTTTTCTCATTTCTGTTAAAATACGGTTGTATTAAGATAGCTCTGATAAAACAATGAGCGCAACATTTTGTAAAACTGCTAGTTCGCTTGATGCGTTATAATTTTTCATAAATTATGAGATCATGACGTTTAACTGAATCGCTTTACTAATTATGAGTAGTTGGACAACACAGATCGCTAAATGTTGACAATGCAATCTTGCGTGGTAGTAAGAAAATGGATGCCCTTAAAATTCAGAATACTGTTACCCGATGAGACAATTTAATGTTTGACGGATGTAGCCAACGCAGTCCAAGTGCTTCTCATTCGAAGAACATGAATTGACAAAACTGTTTGTGTTAGCCGATTAAAAGATCGATTGAATTGAAACCGATTGAAATGAAACCGATGGCCACTGTTGGCAACGAGCTGGTCGAATTGAGCAATTTTCAACTTTGCATATATTGCCTCTGGGGTGCAACGCCTGCTTATTTAAAAACTGTCATCTGCCCAGTTTTTCTGAATTCTGTTCTAACCGGTTAAAGTGGCATTAAAAGTAAGCGAACCAGTTCTACAAAAACAAAGCAGCCCAATCAGCAACATAGTTTACGTAAAAGTTAGCGCACAATGGGGAAACATGGATTCAGTTATTTTGAAAATATCATATGGCATGTTCGTAAAAAGTTCCAGGTTAATTAGTGCTTTATTGAAAGCAATCGTAGTGTGAACACCAGATGTCGCCTAAAAAGAAAGCTTAATCTGGGTATGTCAACTGCAACCCAGACATGAGTGCACCGTATTGACCGAGGTCACGCTAACAACACAGGTTAGAGTAATATACATCGAACTGTTTACGAATCTCCTCCGCCCGATCTTCTAGCAAGGCCTCCCTGAAGGCATGCAAACTCGCTGTTGAGCCATCCTCTGAAACAGTATCTTTACCCACGACCTTGTCCAGTTGCAGCGACTTGCTCCATATTTGGTCAAATTTGTTTCCCAAATTGTACTTTTCAGTTAAACCGCATTTGTCCATAATCGAACGTAGCTGATAGAACAAAAAGGGAATATAGACTGGAATGAATACAGACGTTCAGGAGTTCTCGACTTCCCAAACAAACACATTCGACTATGGTGGGATGAAGACCGTACTAGTATGGTTTAACACTTACTGCTCCAAGTCTCGCGCGAACGCTAGTTTAGGAACTTGACTATTCAATGCGCTAAGCGAGTTTTTTCTTTCTTTTTGTACCTTCTTACTTTTCCAACAAATATTCACATTCAGTTAGGTATGAAAAGAACCTTTGCACAGAAATACGCCAACGTAGTGTACTGCCGAATGTACAGAGCTTGAGGAGGCAACCCCTCAGCTATGTGGATAACTATCGCACAAAGGAATCGGCATTGGAAAGGTTCACTTCTCAACGGGTGCCTGTAGTCTTAGGTCAGTCCATATATAAATATACTTCTATATATATATATATATATATATATATATATATATATATATATGTATATATGACAAGTGATCAATAAACAAGTGGCAGATTACCAAAATACGTTGGCAACAGTAACAAAAGAGGGCAGTCCGGAGATGGTTACGTAGGCCTGTGTGTCGTGTTGGCAAAGAGCTTCCCGGTTGCCCAAATCGAGGAAGAAAGTTGACTTAAAGGACCTCTCCCGAAGCTTTTGATTTTAAAGACTAAACCCACAAGGTTGCAAAACGAATGACATATGGTGCAAATCGCCAGGAACATGTAACAAGACTTTCGAGTACTAAAACTACGGCGTTTCAAACGTTAACCAGCAGACCATGCTACTCTCACATGTCTGGCATGAAGAAAAAAGTGTCTTTCTCTTGGGGTGAAACAGTTATTATCCCGATGTTCATAAAAGCCGAATGATTAGTCACATTTCAGTTACTTGCAAACTATATTGGCACCTATTCTGCTTTGTAGACTGTTCCGAATATATGCATCATACAGCTAGGAAGAACAATTTGGTTTCCATCTCGGCTGTGGATTAATTCTTCAAGCTCAGTCAATTCCTGGAACACCAACACTTTTATCACAGGCCCACTAACGTCGCATTCTTATACATACGGGATGCATTTGACTCGTCCGATCTAACTGCAATATGGCGCTGTCTGCTACTCGCATTTTCCCTTCTTATCTCCAACAGAGTGACTGTCTATGGCAAGCTTTCATCGCCTTTCGCTATCAATAGCAGTGGGTGACAGAGTCGCTCTATGCCCCATTTCTATGCAACAATGCGATGACAGACATAGTGCTGAAAGCTCAAGAAGGTTCCTGCAACCTTTTAGCTTGAGTTTCTACCGTGTAAGCGCGCTGCTTACTTAGACTGCGCGGATGATATCCCCTTGCTTGGTGAAAGTCCACAGAGTATGTAACTCATTTCGAATCTTTTGGCGGTCGAAACATCTAAGTGTGTCATGAGCTTCGCTCAAGGAAAGCGTAAAATGCGGCTCCAAGATTGGCCCACACCCGCTCTCGTGCTCACGGTTAAAGATGCAAAACATTAGTAGATAGCTAGTTTTCTCCACTTTGGTGGAGTCACCTAATCAATTCCCTACTTCGGCTTAAGCATCCGGGCACTTTTATCATCAATGACAAAGCCATGAAGCGTTCAGCTGATACGCCGCGCTTAAGTACTCATGCCCTCGCCACCCAAGCAAGTTTATCGCACGCCAGTTATTTGTTTATGTTTTCTGTTAAATGTTAATTCGTATCCTCCATGATTACACTCCCCACAATTTGTCGACGTCTGTTTGACTCAATCAATGGCTGTCCAGTCGTCTCGATCTTCCTTCCGTCTATTTTAAGTATCTGAGTTCGTTCTGCGATCGCCAGTCACCTGGGAGTGATATCAGGAACAGTTAGCTAAACAAGTTATAACACTACAGCAAGTTACACACGACTGTCAGGTGGAGAGCTTCGGCAAATTCTCTAGCTGCGGAACTCTATCTATCGTCGTTAGTTCCATTGCACTTATGGGTCACATCGTCAGTATATCGGAACTCCGCCTCAGGAATTTATCGCAGTCACTTGCGGATATAACTAAATGTAGGCTGTGTTATGGATGAGAAATCTGGACATATACCAAAGCAGGTTAAGAGGTGCCACCACTCAGAAACTGACTAGTTGACACCTAGCAGTACATTCACCAAAACCAGAGAGACTATGAGCATGCCTATATGTTATATAAAAACGATAGAATAGACAAAATCTGCTAACCGTATTGCAGGATTTCGTCAAATGTACGGGTACTTCCATCAAGTATTGAAATATGGTTTGCAACTATGGTTGCAAAACTACAATACCATTTTTCGTACTGCAGTTATTCTTTGGTTCGTGTCATGTAGCTGTTGTCGGCTCGCTCTATTAATCAAAACCAACACTACAAATTGGTGAACAAAGCTAATGATCAGTAGTGACACTAATTTATTCTTGCAGTAACAGGTCTGGTACAGCAGACGGCTAACTAGTTGAGCAAACCTTACTTCGAATATTCGATCTTAGAGGGGAATTATGGGTTTTTGGTTGTTTAGAAAATATTTAGAAAAGAAGCTGTGACAGCGTCATTCAGCCGTATACGAGAAAAAGAAGCGTGCTCATCCACATCCAATTATTGATTATATGTCTTGCATTTGCTAAAAGTTTAGTTCAGGTGTACCTTACCTGATTATTTTCACACTGAAGACCAAGCAAACATAAAAACTAGCCTATGCAACAGCTGTGAGAATCTGTTTGGGTTTCTGCCATGATCTGTAAGTTGCATATTTCTCTACTGTGCGAGATACAGTCCAACTGCTTAGTCTGCTCTTTTGGTACAACAGGACTTCAAAGAGTAGATGTTAATTAAAAGTATCCAGCGCCGTTCCAATTTAGGTTTTTGAGGAGTTCCATTGGTAAAACGATCAAAAAGAATGAGTTTGAAAGTGAGATGAAATTGATTGTTGTAAAGCTTTCGAGTGAAGCAAGACAACTATCCGTGGAACCGTTTCCTGAGGACAAGCTTCCATGTGGGGTAGTACCTCGAACTGTTTCACTCATCATTCTACGCCCCATTTGGCTTTGTAGCGGTGTGGCGTACGAGCCAATGAGACATCACTGTATTAGCTCTTCTTCAGACCCGCTGTTATGTATAATGAAAGTGAAATTCGCCCTTTTTATTTCTTTTCATTCTTTTAAGCCATTCAGAATGTTTCAACTTTTGACTCATTCGAAGATGGTACTTAATTTACTCGCCAATAGGTCAGTGTCAATTTGATTTGTGTGGGCATATTGTAAACTCGTTGTTAGGTCTGTGGCGAATCGCCTCATTTGGATGCTGAGATTATTTCGAAATCTTCACTCTGCCACTTCAGGAGAGTGGCCGAGCCGTGGCCAGCATTGGAAAAGAAATATAGCAATATTTTAAAATAAAACATTGATAGTCAAGTCAAGAATTCGCTTTTATGCGCCCATGAAGGGTGAATTTTCAAAAGAGTGGCATAAATCCGATAGATTCAGCCTCAATTTGTACATAGGGGTGACCGAGAAAAATACACTTATACTGCTCTAAGAATGATAATGAAATAAATCCAACGACTTCATGCAATCTAGTAAACTAATTGATATTAAAGTAATTGATATCGAAAATGGACTCTGCAGAGCAATAAGAACTGTTACCGCTAGTCGAGTCGTTCCTACAGGAAAGAAGATAAAGCAGACTGCAGTGGAGAACACAGGCAAAAATAATAAAAAAACTATCAGGTTTGCATTGAGGAACGAAAGAAAAGTTCTGGAAAAACGAAAACTGAATAAGTTAACGAAACGAAAAGGATACTATTTAGAATGATCGCACATATTAGCATGCAATGTTGTCACTGTAAGCCAACACTTCAACTCCTTCATCATGCAGCCTTTTCATTCTGCAGCCTGGTTTCTTCAGATTTTTCAGCTGCAACCTCACTCAAATGGGAAGTTATTATTCGTATCGTCAGACTAAGCAAGCACTCACCTAATTTGCCAGAGCCCACTATGGATAGCGTTGTTATAAGAACTGTAGCATGTCCTTGTTTACATCTGTTGAGGAATTGTATCACTGGCTTCTGGACGGAAGGAAATATTATGCAAAACAATTTTAAATTACCAACCGAATGTGTGATAAAACCTAGTTTGCGTTATTCATCCATGAGCTTGCGCTGAATGTCGCTTCAAATTTTCTGCTGTTTGCTGCTGGAGCCGGATTCAGGCGGATGCCGATCAAAATTTACTTCAGTGTGACCTACATACGGTACATGCTTGGTCAACCCGTACTCCTTTACAATTCAACGTGGATACATGCAAGGCACTCTCCATACAACACCAGAGTACCTATTCCTACAAGCTAGGAATCTATGAATCTACTGCATGGATTTTTAAATCTATCTCGTTATCCTTCAGAGATCTGTATGTTATTTTTGCCCTTTAAAACCTGTGTACCACCAGAGGCAGAATCCGTCGGGTATATAGCCCACATTTATCAATTTTTTTATTTCATCATATGCCATATTCCATTTTCTGTTGTTTCCCACGATTGAGGCAATCCCCATAGGTGACGGAATGAAGGTACTGAATTAATCATTGCACTGATGTGTAGCCAAATGTCACAGACCAACGGGTGAGAGAAATATGCCCACACGCTATTATCCACAGACGTTGAGTTAAAAAGTGTCAGACTCTTAAGATGCAGGAGTTGAAAAGGGCTGAATGGATTAAAGATGCTTTAAAAATGTAAACCAAAGTGCTTATTTACCTCCACGAACTTATTACTATGAAAAGCTACGGCCCTAAAGAAGACCAACTAGGGTGATGACTCATCTGCTCTTATGACAAGGCACCACAGAGCCAAATGGGGTGTGGGATTGCGAGTACAAAATTTCTAGGGACTGCCCCACATGGAAGCAAGTCATCAGATGAAGGGATACCCTGGATGCTTGTATTGCTTCAATTGAATAACTTGCAACAACCGCTTTCATTCCACTTTTTAACTATCAAACAATTGACAATTTTACCAAGCGAACTCCTCGAATACCTAACTTGAAACTGCGTCGGATAATTTGAAATGCCGTTTAATCTTGGCGATCCTGTTGTGCTAAATGATCAACTAGTTGTTTTCTATCTTGCACAGGGGGATATATATACATATATGTGTATATGTATATACGAAGTCAAAAGAAAGAAAAAGCAGATCATAGGATAAAGCCTTCGAAATGTGTTACACCTATGCTTAACTTACATTCACCACTGTAGCGAGATTATAGGTTGCGTTGATTAAGGTACACGAGGCCGTCCCTCATATGTGGGTCTACAAAGTAGTCCTCCTAAAGGCATTGCATGATGAGTACAAATTTAACTAATACTTGGCGGTTAAGCATTTGGTACCAGATGAATGTTGGTGGTCATGCAGTCTCCAAATTCACGGGAGATTATTAAGTCGTAACTAGCTTGTTGGTTGTCATTCCTGTTATTCATGCAAACACAGCGATACCTGGCTACAGTACATACACTGCATTAGGCTGACTGCACCAAAGACCAAAATACAAATTTCTAACGTTATAGACCATGCTGCTTTATCACATTTGTTACGAGTCCATAAACCACGTGAAGCATTACAGAAAGCGTCAACCGAATCCGTATGCTCTCTCAAAATCTTGGTGTTTTAAGCACTTTGTTTGTTCAGTGCGCCAAGTGTTGTGTATGCTGAGGGAAGAAAAAAGTGCTCCGCAAGCTGGCCCCTCAGCATCTCGAAATTACCGTCTTTAGGTTTACGTTGAAAAAGTCCAGACTATTCAGTCCCCATTACTACTCTTCCTTATGGAAGTCCATAATACGTACCGTGAATATATCACTCAATACCTTTTTTATTTTCTGTCACACAAGTAGTGTTGGATCATTTTGTCTCGTAGTCTATATTTGTGTTGTTTATTGAGTCTTCACCATCAGTTGCGGTTCTCCTTTTATACACATTTTATACACCTAATTGTTTGCTTTCATGAGTCCAACATTTTCATGATCCTTGGCGAAGAATCCGGTGATGACACCGAGTATGTATGAGGAATCGATTAAAAGGAAAACCAATGCTTCAACCGATTTATACCCACATGTTTTGGTTGTCTGCTTATGTCATCTCCTAACTCCGACAGCATGTCTTGCATAGACATGTTGTTTGTGTACATGATCCATCCAGTATAGGGTACGGTTTCTCGTTAACAAAAGAGGTTCAAAGATCTTTAATTAACGCATTTTCGCTTTATCCAATAAGTTATATTTACTTAACATCCATCACAAATCAGTTTGCAAATCAGGAGGCCTTGCTAAATTATTGTTCCAGCAATGACATTCATTATAGTGCTATACGATCGGTTAGGGCCTTCATCACAAAGTGATGATTAGATTGACACCAAAAAAGCGACTGAAAAATATTAACAGCTAGTTTGAATGCATTTTGACATACAACGCTTGCGTAGCTGTTTCAGACACTCATTATGGAAGCAGCTACAAATAGCCATACCTCTTGCTTGGTCCGCGGCAGCAGCAAATCATGTGACGACAATCCGTATTCTGCGTATATACTTGGTTGCAGCAGAGAGCGTATAGTAGTTTCATCCCCATAATTAGTGTAATCAAGGGTACGCTTAACCTGTGCAAAAGGATAAAAACGTCGCAGTAACAAACAAAAACGAAGCAAATAATTTATGTAACTGTTATCGATGCTCATGTTCTATGCGTCCCAAGAACTCGGTGTTGAGCCAGTATCCGCCTATATAGCCGTGACATCGTTGCAAATTACATTATGACTGAGAAAATATGGAAAGGGCACATCGTTTCGCTTCCGACTCCGCCTGTTCATGGTAAGCTCTCGATGCAAAACAAACAGCTCTTCCTGTTTTCATAATTTCTAGCGCCATATTTTAAGTACAAATAAGAGAAAAAGCAACAAAATATCCAGTTGCAACGGCATTGGCGTGATTACGTTAATATTGGCTCCAGCCAATCGTATGAGCCTCGTCGTGTTTACGCAACATAAATAGCGTCTTTGCCGCTTATTGCAATGTCGATCATAGATCTGTGTCTCCCTTGTCATTATTATAACCTTTCATCAAACAAGTTTCTAAGTTTATGTTTGGTTGAGGAGCCTATGTTTCTATTTAAATTATTACACTTTATATCCAGCAAGCTCTGAAGAGAGATGCAGCAAATAGCTATTGTGCGGTGCTATGCAGAAATATTAGAAAAATTTCCTTAACTATTGCAAGCATACTTTTTATAATGTGCGTTGCAATCAATGCGTGTCCGCTGGTGATTAATTACACAAGGTGGAAAAACAGCTTTAAAAATGGGCCGATATTAACGTTTCAGAGTGAAGCAGAAACTGCTGCCCTCACGGATCATACAACGTTGCAAGGGGCTTTGAACGTTACAAATGCTATTGCTACCAACTTTTTTGAACATTGCTTTCATCCTTCATGCCAAACTTATTGCTCAAACCCAATTTTGACTGACAAAAATGTTTATCTCACTTGGAAAAAAACAATGAGTATGTCAACACGCTTGCAGGCGACGCACCTGCACAGTCGTTTTGGTCCAACTTTTACAAAGTAAGCTATGTACATCTGTGGGATGCTGCCATCGCAGGCTGACATAATTCCAAAAGTGATTTTCACCATGCATCATCGTTTACAGGAAATCCTAATCGGATAAAAGTCATGAAATGCAATCAACCGAAGCCGGTCAAGCTAAACTGAAGGGGGGGCATGCACCGGTGTAATTTGGAGACTCGTATAGAGCCCTTGTTGCACTATTGAATCAGTTAAACATCTTATAGAAACAACTAACTCTGGTTAAGTCCAAGTGCAAACAGCTGAAGAGTGCAACCGAAGGGCACTACGCTATTGGATTTTGGAAAAACAAGAGTACGAGTTCGCCAATGTCTTCCACTATTCTGGACAAGATAGCTTAACCTAGGCTTATCATTTTGCTTAACTTTGAACTGGTTAATAGGTAAGGTTGCCTTATCAAGATGTTTGCCGATGACCATCATTTTAATTTGAATTAGCTATTCTCAGGTGGGGCATGTTTTGGGCACTCCAAATCGTCTTCGTGTGAAGACGATAGATACAAATAAACTTGTAGAGCACACTCTCGCACTTGCTTAAGTGGACTTATCATTTATGGGGTTAGCAATTAGCTGAACAACTTTATTACAAACAACGAGTGTAAGCAACTTGGGTGGATTTCAGTTAGAGGCTGGGTGCATCACATCGCATCGCAACGGAGAGTATATATGACCCTTAGGGCTCAAAGTATAATTAGGTTGGAAGAGCGTGCATACCTTTAACGGTATATTGTAAGGTGACTTCAGCAGCATAGTGATGGTATCGCCACACAATCCTGTTATACTTTGCTTGGATTTAGTGAAATTGATGCTAAACATGCTTTAATGTATGCTTGATCAGTTATCGTCCACTAAGGTTATGATCGGTTCCATTTTATATTTTACACAAGGATGGCTAGCAGCAGTCTTCCCCAGAGCTGATTGCTGCTATGACTACGAAAGAGACATCGCGATCCCAGCTACACAGAGATCATGATTTGCACATAGAAATATCGAAAACAACGTATTAAAAGTACACGATGATTGCAAAGGTCACAAGGAGGGAAGTGAACTGAAGGGGAAATTTTAGCATGCTTTGACATAACTGAATTCTTGATCAGTTCAATGTTTTGGTATTTTGAACGGTAACATGGAAGCCCAATTAGATTCATCAATTTCGCGGAATCCGATGCATCATAACCTCCTCAGCGTTTTCAAGTCTGCGTAATATTTAAATTTGGGTCCTGTTGATAGTGAGAAATAAAGGTAGATGATGAATTCACCTACCTTGACAGCCGCATCCGCAACGACGGGCGGATAACCACGGAATTTAATTCACTTAATGCAAAAGCTAGAACTGCTTTCTTTAACCTTTCTCATCCGTGGCGTCAGAATGGGGTTTTGCCTCGGGCTGGAAGACCGTTTTACAAGGCCACTACGAGGGCCGTCCTAGCTATGGGATTGAGACTTGGCTACTCCGGTATGAGGATCTGACGCGATTAAAGGCTTTGATAACCGCTGTCCACGAAGTACTACCGCTGTCGGAAGGCACTGGCGTGTTCGCAACGATGGTGTGGGTACGCGAGTGCTAGGCAGTGATAACCAGGCCAGTTCATTAGAACAACAGATAGGAATGACTGAGTTGCATTGAGTTGGACACGTGCTACGTTTCCCCGGCCAGCGTTTATCAAGGAGAGGCTTTATTGCTGTGTCTGATTTACGGTGGGCAAAAGTTTACTTGACAGTTGGAAAACAGATCATCAACTACAAAACTGACTGCCTTTGGCCCATCTTGCATTCCAGACTTCAGTCCACATGACCCGCCTTGTGTTTAGCTCGAAAAGTTACATGATATGGCTCGGTGTCGGCGCCAGTGACGGAGCTGTTTTCTTGTGGTAGTCGGACTTCTTTTTGTAAGTTCGTTTGGTGTTTTCTGCGTGGTAATGGTTGATTATTGGGCATGGCAGTAAATACCGCAAGGATGCCGATACCGACTTATCTTTGCACGATTGTCAGCTGGTTTTGGCTGCATGTTGTTGACAAGGTGTGGGCACTTTGACCATGGATGTTTGCTTTGGGCAACAACGATTTGCGTTAGGTATTTATTATGGGCCACTCATTATCCTATCTTCCGTAGGTCGCTGTGATTGTACGGCAGCGAAACATCATTGCAAATGGCTTATGTACTGCTGTTAAAAATGATGATCTCTCCAGTCAAAAGCGTCGATGGCTAAAATGCCAGTCCCTGCTTATCAGTTTACCGCTGTTTGTTAGACTGAATACGACGTGATATATTCCAAGGCTGCCATTTTAGTGTTAGTAAAACATGACATAGTAATCGCTTGTAGGAACTGGTCATGCAATCTCAAGTAGTGTTACAATATATGTCCGTCGTAGGGAAGGCTCATATTTATAGGAAGCAACAACTAACATAGTCATTGCTAACGTGGTGTTACGACCACACAGGAGGTATCCTCCGCAAACACGCAGTAGCAAACACAGAAATTCGGTGCATATCACACACACACACACACACACACACACGAATCGACTAGGTCTCGCTTGATTACAACAGAACCGCGTGAGCATATGTATTCTAGACCATGCCTGCTAGAGAGAGTGAAACTTCCAGTTCAGACCACACCTGCGTCGGATTTTCAAAAGGTGCTGGGGTTTTGGTCAAGCGACGAAAAGCCCCCTCAATTGTAAGTCGGTAGTAGTGCACCCGCAAAAACAAACAAAGCTCTTCACTTGTGTAAGTCCCTTAGTTTTGACAGTGATCACTGGGGAAGCTCAGTGTCCAATTTGTAATTAGGGCCTTTCCTTCCGATTAGGCGAGATATATGTTATACTTAGTTATTTCAGTCGCCAGCGGTTAATAACAAGTTACCTATTCTCAAGGTCGAAACCGAGCAAGGACATAATCTCAACGTCAGCCAACCGTTTGCTAGAAATAAGCACTATATTAGCACCCTGGAAGTCTTGCATAGCGCTCAGCTTGACTTCCATTGAGAACAGAAACGGAAGCATGTGGAACCCCTGTCTTTGGATGCTAAGCAAATATATAACTGAAGTCTTATTATCGACGACGTGACGCACGTTCGTGTTTGCATGGTCGGTAAGTGCATACTTGTGTAGAGTGTTCGTCACGGATAGAACGGGAGAATTAAAATTAGCTTAGATACTAGAGTTTAGAATGACGGTACTTGCACACATAACTGCTGAATGAAAACCGTTGAAGTTGGTTGACTTTCAAACACTCACATAGGACGTTAAAAACGGCTAAATCCCATAAGAGATAATGATGACGAACTAGGTATGGAGTTATACGAAACCTAGACCACGATCGTATGCTTGGCTTTTTGTTATGGAACAACCAATAACTCTAAGTATGTTAAGTACAGTCATAAAGTTATTGATTCTTTCGCGAAATGTGTCCTGAAAAGTGATGAGAGCTCATCGTAAACAATCACTCCGTCTGAGGGATCGTATTGCAAACCTCCAATAGCGCTTTATTTTTCGGCTGGTCTGTTCATTGCAGTCAACGCCTTAAGAGTGACCGAAAAACCGAGTCGAACGCAAACCGGAGGTCCAGAGGTGTGTTAGTGCTACGCTACTCATAAAGGTAATGTTCAACGAGTTGTCGGAGTATAAACTCTTCTTTCTCCTGCCCTTGATCGGAATGGAAGCCAGCGTTTTCATCATGGCAGTGCTGCTAACAGTTTGGTGGTAAGCAATATTAGACTGATTCAATTGTGATTAGTGCATGGGATACTTGATGGTGCCGATATGCTTCTAGCCCCAGGAGACGGAGTATTCTGTCGAGAAGTTAACGTTTAAAGCAAAAGGATGGCAAATAATTGACTGTTACTCTGCCATTGCAATTGAACAGCGCCAAAAGAAGTCCTTCTAAGCTAGTAACCTTGGTTAACTTCAAGTGTCTTGGCGCAATGCAGACCACTTTAGTGCTCGGTTCGTGTTATGTTCCAAGGTGAGCCTCCAGGTGAAATTGCGTGGTAGATGGAAACAGGAGATCAACCGAACTA